ACTCACTGCATTTCCCTCACCCCACATCCCCATCATCGCACTCGAGAGGTGCTCCGGGGACTCGCACACCGACCCAACCCTGTGACGCACCCAGCTTTTCAACCGGCGCGACCCAGTGGTGGTCGTCGCGCGGAACCCTCACCCCCCTATAGTCCCCCCTCTCCCTTTTTCGGGAGGGTTGGACCACAGGGTCGCGGGTTCGCGAACCCCACACCCCCCTATAGTCCCCCCTCTCCCCTTTTGGGATGCTGCGGGGCTTATTAGGGGATGTTGCGGATTCTCTCTCGCGCGTATCTCTCCTCTCAATCGAGATCGAGGGGAGCATTGCCTGGGGTCTCAAATTCGAACGGATGTGATTCCGTGCATACCTCGTTCCACAGCGTCAACAGTCACGCTATTTTGCGTTTTGTGTCCGGAGGTATGAATCGAACTCGGTACCTTGTTGACATGAAGCTAGCACGCTAGCAATACGCCAACACAGGCCACACCGAATCTGCTTTTTTTGGGCCTCATGACCTGTTAGTTTATTAAATCCAAATTTTATCTTTGTGCTATCTTACAATAAATAATAAACTCCACGCTTTCCATTTTTTGTCCCGAGGTTCGATTCGAACTCGGCACTCTCTGGGTACGAATCCATCGCTCTACCAATTACGCCAGCACAGGCCACATCGATTTTGCTTTCTTTCGGCCTCATGACTTGTTAGTTTGTTATATCTAAATATTAATTTTGTGTTATTCAACACTAAATAAATACCACAACGTGAACAATATTTTTTTTTGTCCTGAGGTATGATTCGAACTCGGTACCTTTATGGTACGAAGCCATCAATCTATCCATTACGCCAACACAGGCCACACAAAATCAACTTTTTTTTGGCCATATGACCTGTTAGTTTTTTAATCGTATAAAATATACAATATCATCTACTTTGCAACGGTTTATTAACGTGATCGTCGTGGCGTCGCGCGTTAGGAGCTGGGAGTCACTGGAGAGGACGTGGTAGCAGGTTCGAGACGTGGTAGAGGTAAGCAAGGTAAGAATATTAGTTCTTAACGCGCGTAGATAAGCATTAGGTAAGGTTATAAAGTAAGGAGAAGGGTGGTAGCGTAAACGTGTCGCGGGAAATTAATACAATTAATATAGTAATAAAATAATCTAATAAAATAAATTATCTCAATAAAAATGAAGATATCATTGTGCTAAAGAGGAAAAAATAAATAATCTTCATTACCTATGTCCAAAGTTAAGTAAAACAGACCAATATTAAAAGTATATTAATTAAAATGAACTAATTAAAACACTTTGAATAATAGTATATGATTGAAGTGAGTGAAAGGTGTTATCATTTTTGACATGTTTGAAATGAGTGAAAAACCATAGATTAGTCTATTTAAAATGGTCAAAGTCATAACTTCATCAACTTTATTGATCATAATAGAATTAGATTACAAAAATTGTAATATATTTTATGAAATTCATTCAAAATAATAAATCATCGCCGAAAAACGAATTAATGAGTATATTAGTGTTTATGATAACATCAACAAATATATTGATGTTCATAATACCTATACCTATACGGTGCGTTTTTAACATATATCACTGAAAATTGTGTGAAATGAAACACTTCAAATAAAGTTTAGTTAGTTTTATTCAAAACTTCCAATCAATGTATCACAGTATTTAATAATACAATTATATTAATTTATTCTTACAATTGCAGTAATGAAAATGACTAAAATACATTAACATTTGTCTAATTGTATAATATATATATATATATATATATTATTGTTACATACTGTGTTATTATTATTATATATATATACACCTAAGTCTGTTTTTACACGGTAGATTGGTTCCAGAAGAAGCCGTGTAAAAAAAGACATTGATCTTATACAAAAATGGGTGATTTGTTCCTAATCTCTAAAACCTATTAAAATTAGTGAAAAACAAGAATTTTTAAGAACAAGAATTCATATTTATTTTATTAAATCAAATATATAATGCTTATTTTCAATAATAATTAATGATAAAAAAGATATGCACTCTAATCTTAAAAGTAATATAAATTAAAAGTAATATAGCAAGTTCAGGAACTAAAAAAATATGTTGTGAACAAAAAGAATAGGTTATTCAATTTTTAAGGTAAAAAATAAAATAAAATAGAATAAGTGATAATCATAAATACAACAACATAAATTTAATTGCTGTCGTCATCAGTTATTCGCATTCGCTTTGACCAGTAAAAATTGTTTATCTTTAAGCTAGTGTTCGCAAACTATCGATACTATCGATGGTTTCAGACTTTTCACTTTCATAAATACTTTTTTGTGATATGAACATACTTCGCAAAAATTAAATATGACAAAAAAAATTTAAGTACATAAAATTTGAAATCGTGCTAAATGGAATAAAATCGTATAAAAAATTAAAAATATTCAATTTTCAAACCGTGTATTAAATTAAGTGATATTTATAGCTAAGAAAAAAATGCGCCATTTAAAGAAATAATAGAAAGTATAATATTAAACAAGAGAAAACATCGGTTTGACACATTAAATGTTTAAGGCACTCGACTAACATAATGGTTTGGAAAAAAGCAAAGTCTATTGTCAACGCGTTTCTACCGAGTCAAAGCAATGACGCAGAGTTCTACCCGAGTCGAAGCAAAGGTATAAAGAGCTTTACCAAGATGCGGCAAGATGTTTGCAAACACCCAAACAGTGAAGAAAACTGTTCTACACAATTGACTACACTAAAGAGTGCACTCAATAAGTATCCCTATTAATAACACAAGAAATTTTTTAAAATGTAGACATGTTTAAATATTTCTGTAATTTACGTTACAGCATGATGTGATTTAGCCGTGAAGTGGCTCATAATTAAATTAAAACAACAATTAAATTAAATACAATTATTTATTCATTAAATCTTAACATCTAAGCACTTAACTATTTAATATATCATAGTAGGCATCTTCTCTGGTGAAGAGACGGACGGACGGACGGACGGACGGACGGACAGCATAATTAGTAGATCAAATGATTGTTCTCACTCATGAGCAACTTGAGCGTTGAAGAGCACTTGGCTTGAAGTTGTTTACCCTATAACCGAAAACAATGAATAGTAACAAGTCTCATAAAATATACTATAAAGAATAAATTACCTGATTAATCATGGAGCGGTGTCTTCCACATAACCCCATTAAGACCTTCATAGTAAATCTCAACAAGTGGTTTTTATAATAACTGCATAATTAAGTTAGTTAGGTTAGTCATGTTATTGAGTTAATAAGAGTTAAGTTAATCATGCATAATTATAGACAGTCATTGAAAAAAAACTACTTGCGAGCCATTCACATGAATGAGTGTTCAGGAGCTTGGAAGCTCCTGAATTTGAGGCTTCAGTAATAGTTGGATCGAGAAGATCTGCAAAAAAAGAAAGAAACATTATAGGAATGTTCGCATTTATACTAATATGGATGAACACATACCTGGTAAAATGTTTCTGGAAAGATTCTTGGTGAAGGGGTCTGTGTGCAGAGTAGCAGTGGGTTGAAAGGACCTGGAAAAAAAAAAAAATGTTATTTTTTATTGTTCACATTTATACTGATTATGGATAAATCACATACTTGGTAAAATGTTTCAGGAAGGATTCCTGGTGAAGGAGTCAAAGTGCAGAGCCAAAGTAGTTGAAAGGACCTGAAAAAAAAAACATGTTATTTATTGTTCACATCATATGATTATGGATTAAAACGTACTTTTTAAATTATTTTCAGAGCGATTCCTGGTGAAGGGGTCAGTGTGCAGAACAGCAGTAGTTGAAAGGACCTGGAAAAAAATAAACATGTTATTTATTGTTCACATTTATACTGATTAGGGATGAAAACGTACTTTTTAAATTATTTTCAGAGCGATTCCTGGTGAAGGGGTCAGTGTGCAGAACAGCAGTAGTTGAAAGGACCTGAAAAAAAAAATAAACATGTTATTTATTGTTCACATTCATATTGATTATGGATAAAAACGTACTTTTTAAATTATTTTCAGAGCGATTCCTGGTGAAGGGGTCAGTGTGCAGAACAGCAATGGTTGAAAGGACCTGGAAAAAAGTAAACATGTTATTTATTGTTCATTTATATGATTATGGATAAAAACGTACTTTTTAAATTATTTTCAGAGCGATTCCTGGTGAAGGGGTCAGTGTGCAGAGCAGCAATGGTTGAAAGGACCTGGAAAAAAATAAACATGTTATTTATTGTTCACATTTATACTGATTAGGGATGAAAACGTACTTTTTAAATTATTTTCAGAGCGATTCCTGGTGAAGGGGTCAGTGTGCAGAGCAGCAATGGTTGAAAGGACCTGGAAAAAAATAAACATGTTATTTATTGTTCACATTCATATTGATTATGGATAAAAACGTACTTTTTAAATTATTTTCAGAGCGATTCCTGGTGAAGGGGTCAGTGTGCAGAACAGCAGTAGTTGAAAGGACCTGGAAAAAAATAAACATGTTATTTATTGTTCACATTTATACTGATTAGGGATGAAAACGTACTTTTTAAATTATTTTCAGAGCGATTCCTGGTGAAGGGGTCAGTGTGCAGAACAGCAGTAGTTGAAAGGACCTGAAAAAAAAAATAAACATGTTATTTATTGTTCACATTCATATTGATTATGGATAAAAACGTACTTTTTAAATTATTTTCAGAGCGATTCCTGGTGAAGGGGTCAGTGTGCAGAACAGCAATGGTTGAAAGGACCTGGAAAAAAGTAAACATGTTATTTATTGTTCACATTTATATTGATTATGGATAAAAACGTACTTTTAAATTATTTTCAGAGCGATTCCTGGTGAAGGGGTCAGTGTGCAGAGCAGCAATGGTTGAAAGGACCTGGAAAAAAATAAACATGTTATTTATTGTTCACATTTATACTGATTAGGGATGAAAACGTACTTTTTAAATTATTTTCAGAGCGATTCCTGGTGAAGGGGTCAGTGTGCAGAACAGCAGTAGTTGAAAGGACCTGAAAAAAAAATAAACATGTTATTTATTGTTCACACTTCATATTGATTATGGATAAAAACGTACTTTTTAAATTATTTTCAGAGCGATTCCTGGTGAAGGGGTCAGTGTGCAGAACAGCAATGTTGAAAGGACCTGGAAAAAAATAAACATGTTATTTATTGTTTACATTTATACTGATTATGGATAAAAACGTACTTTTAATTATTTTCAGAGCGATTCCTGGTGAAGGGGTCAGTGTGCAGAACAGCAGTAGTTGAAGACCTGGAAAAAATAACATGTTATTTATTGTTCACATTTATACTGATTATGGATAAAAACGTACTTTTTAAATTATTTTCAGAGCGATTCCTGGTGAAGGGTCAGTGTACAGAGCAGCAGTAGTTGAAAGGACCTGAAAAAAATAAACATGTTATTTATTGTTTACATTTATACTCTGATTATGGATAACAGCGTACTTTTTAAATTATTTTCAGAGCGATTCCTGGTGAAGGGGTCAGTGTACAGAGCAGCAGTATTTGAAAGGACCTAGAAAAAAATAAACATGTTATTTATTGTTTACATTTATACTGATTATGGATAAAAACGTACTTTTTAATTATTTTCAGAGCGATTCCTGGTGAAGGGTCAGTGTGCAGAGCAGCAGTAGTTGAAAGGACCTGGAAAAAAATAAACATGTTATTTATTGTTCACATTTATATTGATTATGGATAAAACGTACTTTTTAAATTATTTTTCAGAGCGATTCCTGGTGAAGGGGTCAGTGTGCAGAACAGCAGTAGTTGAAAGGACCTGGAAAAAAAATAAACATGTTATTTATTGTTCACATATATTGATTATGGATAAAAACGTACTTTTAAATTATTTTCAGAGCGATTCCTGGTGAAGGGGTCAGTGTGCAGAACAGCAGTAGTTGAAAGGACCTGAAAAAAAAAATAAACATGTTATTTATTGTTCACATTTATATTGATTATGGATAAAAACGTACTTTTTAAATTATTTTCAGAGCGATTCCTGGTGAAGGGGTCAGTGTGCAGAACAGCAGTAGTTGAAAGGACCTGGAAAAAAATAAACATGTTATTTATTGTTTACATTTATACTGATTATGGATAAAAACGTACTTTTTAAATTATTTTCAGAGCGATTCCTGGTGAAGGGGTCAGTGTGCAGAACAGCAGTAGTTGAAAGGACCTGGAAAAAAATAAACATGTTATTTATTGTTCACATTTATATTGATTATGGATAAAAACGTACTTTTTAAATTATTTTCAGAGCGATTCCTGGTGAAGGGGTCAGTGTACAGAGCAGCAGTATTTGAAAGGACCTGAAAAAAAAATAAACATGTTATTTATTGTTTACATTTATACTGATTATGGATAACAGCGTACTTTTTAAATTATTTTCAGAGCGATTCCTGGTGAAGGGGTCAGTGTACAGAGCAGCAATGGTTGAAAGGACCTGGAAAAAAATAAACATGTTATTTATTGTTTACATTTATACTGATTATGGATAAAAACGTACTTTTTAAATTATTTTCAGAGCGTTTCCCGGTGAAGTGAGTCAGTGTTGAATTTTCACTCGATACTTGGCCATTCGATACTCAACAATTTGCTTGATATGGTATCTTGTGGCCTCCATGTGATTTCATCTTGATGACCAGAAATAGAATGTAGAAATTTACTAGCAGTTTAAGAATTGCACTTGGTTTTTATGAAATGCATTAACATGAATTGAAAACAGTGAAAATTAAAATTTAATGTAATATGTCAAATCCACATTGCATAATCTCAAATGATTCAAATGACCACATTATTTTTCAATAATTGAATAGATTAGTGTATTAGTATTTGTTATTATTAATAATAAAACTACTGATGCTACCTAACTAATAAATTAACCCACATGCAAGACATATCGTGATCATTCGAATCATGAAATTCAATGCCTTAATGATTTTGTAAATTTCTAAAAGTTATAGTGACAACTATAATATTGATCAATTAATATCTTGAACAAAATCACCGCTTAATAAATCTATTCGTGCCAAATGCAATTCCAATAAATACCACATTCAGAGCGTCACAGTAACAATTTTCGTATAAAAACGCAGCAAACGCAAACCTACCCGGCACCTGCAAAATACACAAATTATTATTGAATTTAGTTGATTATACATACATTATTAAATGTCATTGTTGATGCGTCACCAAAGCTGTCTTCGTGTGCAATGCAGCGCTCCAGCACAGAATAGTCTTCGTTTGCATCTTTATATTCATTCAAATTGTAACTATTCTTTGTCAATTTGTAACTTTTTTTCAAGTAAAAGAAATAAAATTATGCATTTAAAACAAAAATGGCTTTCATGGAAAAGTAATTTTGCTTTAAAATTCTTGATGACATGATGATTGTGGTCCAATTTACACAATACTTCTGATCTATAAATTGAAGTGAATTAGCAGATGATAAAGATGTAAATAAGACTTCAAATTAAACGATCCGTATAAATGTACTCACAATAATTCTCATAATGAATTAACAGTCATTATTTTTTACTTTCACAACTTTTTACTATTACTTTTGATTATTTCTTCTGCACAATGACCGCCAGCCATTCAATTGTGAAGTCTTGCTCAGTCAACAAAATAATATGTAGTTTTATTTAACAGTGTTCACCAAATGATGCAAAATAAAATGATTAGATAAAATATATCCGGCGTACGTCTTAGACAGTAGTACGACTTGAGCAAAAACTATATAAATCGAGCACACGTTTTCCAAAAAAAAAACAGAAATGAGTAAAGGTCTCGATTAAATCTAAAACATCTTAAAACACGAAATGAAATCCGAGCGAATCCGCAAAGAGAAATATAATCAGCACAAGTGCAACGTACCAGGTGACGCTCGCAGGTCGCATGTTTTCCACAGGCAGCGAAGGGTCAGGCCCGTTCGTCCGTGTTCGACGACGTCCCGTTGTCTTCTTCCAGCAATCGCCACGATGGAAATGAACTCTCACTCGCAATGACAACTGCCTCTCCCAACTCCTAGAGTCGCAAAGCATAGATGTGCAAAAGACCTGTAGACGTGCGACTGCAAAGCGTGCACGTTCGCTCGGTCGAAGATGGCGTTTCAGAAACTCGAACGCCTCTTCTGTTTTGAAATCGAAACGACGTTTATTTGAATCTTCAATTTTAACATTAAGGGTTTTATAAATTAAATAACGATATTACATTCTTTTAGTAAATTCTCTAAAAATTTACACTGCAATGAATTAGTCGTTGGTTATTGAAATAAATAAATTTGGTGTAGAATAAATTTTATTTTCTTCCACTAACCTGTGTTCTACAGTACACTTGTTTGCATTTCCTTTCTCAGGTATAAAATTTGTTAAATACTTTTACATTTTTAAATATACAGACAAAGGGTATGGGCGCATTGCCATATAGAATCGGCCCCACCCTGGTATTTAAATAATTTATACGCCATTTTATAGGTCTAAATGATAAAAACCGATATACCAATTTTCAACTTTGTATCTCATCTTATGGCCGAGATATCATTGAAAATATGTGAAAGTGGCCCCTTTTTTCAAACTCACTTTTTGACGTAACCATAAAAGATATCGAAAAAAAAATTTACGTGGTTCTATTCATATTGGCTTAGGCCACATAATGTAGAACAATCGATGCCAAATAATTAATTATTATTAGCTGAAAAAGATAAAATAATTTTTCAATTGATGTTTTCCGGTAGTGCGTTTAGTTGGACCACCTTCTAATTAGCGTTATTCGAAAGATTATTGCTTTATCTTTTAGTACTGAAAATATTGTTCAAATCAATTTGGTGAAACACATTGGAAAATTGAAAAAACCGGAGCCAGTACACCCGCGCGTAACCCTAATAGTACCCTGCAATCGCATAGAGTTCGTTCGAACGCAAAGCAGTGCGCGAAGCGCCCGAAACGGTTCCTAAGAAATTCTGAATGTGACAATATTTATTATATAGTTATATGTATTCATATGAAATAATAATATAATGAAACATTGTAATTTCAACAAACCCAAGAAACCTTTTTTTTTTAATGATAATTGTAACATTGCGATTATAAAGCCCTTATTGTGGCCTATCTTTATCAGTACTACTCAATACTACAATACAAAAAGAAATATGACAAATGGTAATCCGAAATTCTTTGCTTTTGGTTATTTAAAATTCTTCAAAAATTATTTGCCATTTGATGTGGAAACTTTCTATATAGTACTTCAGGAATTTACAAAAATTATTACTGAAAGTATTCTAATAATCATTATTATTATTATTATTATTATTATTTCAAAGAGTGTAGGAATATAATTAGAATTGATGTCCAATCACGGCATATAAATAGGAAAAAATATAATGTTTATATTGAATATACTCCGCTTTGCACTAACTATCGAAGTATTTTAAGGTATTGCTGTAGTTGTCCCAATGGATTGAGGACTGTTGGTTGCTGTTCACATATTGCAGCTATCATGTATTATATGTCATTTGCGAGGTATTTATCACGTATTATACGTCCATCAGAAATACTATCGAAAATTTTTATAATAGAGGAAACTTCGGTTGCTATTAACCATGACAGTGATGACGATTAAAATAACAAAATATAATTTTAATTGATTTATTATTTATTAATTTAGCATACCGAAGTATTTGTGTAAATCATATGATACACTTGTAAATTTTAAAAGAACACCAATAAATTTTTAACTCCCCGTAGGGTAAGTTATTGTAATGGGCCGAAAATCGGAATTGAAAATTTTTACATTTCTTGACGTTTCGAAGGTTTCTGAACGTTTTGGCATACCTCAGAAAAAATGGATATGTGTGTGTGTGTATGTGTGTGTGTGTATGTATGTATGGATACAAATTTCCAGTCACGTTTTCGGGCGCACGGATCAACCGATTTGAATGGTTCAAAAAACATTCGATACCTATCGATCGGGAAAAGAGCTAATTAGTTTTTGGCAAAGGCAGGTCCAGCCGTTTCCGGGATACGGAGCAAAGAGTGCAGAAAATAGAAATCGACTTTTTGAGAGAACGGAGTATCCGATTTGAATGATCTAAAAAACATTCAATTAGTAATGATTGGGAGAAGTGTTTATTAGTTTTTGGCAAAGGTAGGTCCAGCCATTTCGAAGATACGGAGCTAAATATGTAAAAAATTGCAGTTTTTGAGAGAACTAAGCGTTCGATTTGAATGATTCAAAGAACTTTCTGCTTGTCTTAACAAAATAATTGATTTTGGAAAAAAAATTTTTGTTTCATTTTTTTTTTTTTTAATTTTTTGTATATCGAAAATAATTCAGATTTTATTTTTAATTCTGACTATAGTTCTAATATACTTTAAACAAATAATTTCAACTTTGCAATTCAGTTTATAAAATACTTATAAATATTAGACAATGTCTCAATATTTATAATAATTTATTTGAAAACATTCAGTATTCCTCGAACATTTCGTTACGGTACGGGAAGTTCCAGCAATTTGCCTTAAGGCACGATGCCACCCACCCCACTAGTTATTTCTAATATTATAATTAAAATACTTTTATTACTTTAATTAAATTACTCACAGTGATAAATAAAAGAAATTGTATTTCAGAATTCAAAGTTCAGAATTTCTTAGGAACCGTTTCGGGCGCTTCGCGCACTGCTTTGCGTTCGAACGAACTCTATGCGATTGCAGGGTACTATTAGGGTTACGCGCGGGTGTACTGGCTCCGGTTTTTTCAATTTTCCAATGTGTTCCACCAAATTGATTTGAACAATATTTTCAGTACTAAAAGATAAAGCAATAATCTTTCGAATAACGCTAATTAGAAGGTGGTCCAACTAAACGCACTACCGGAAAACATCAATCAAAAAATTATTTTATCTTTTTCAGCTAATAATAATTAATTATTTGGCATCGATTGTTCTACATTATGTGGCCTAAGCCAATATGAATAGAACCACGTAAATTTTTTTTCGATATCTTTTATGGTTACGTCAAAAAGTGAGTTTGAAAAAAGGGGCCACTTTCACATATTTTCAATGATATCTCGGCCATAAGATGAGATGCAAAGTTGAAAATTGGTATATCGGTTTTTATCATTTAGACCTATAAAATGGCGTATAAATTATTTAAATACCAGGGTGGGGCCGATTCTATATGGCAATGCGCCCATACCCTTTTTACTGTTTTATTTATATATCACTCATATACATGAATAATTTTGAAATTTATTAACAAAAGCAATTTTCTAATAAAATCATAATAGTTTAGTTGAATTGCTTTTAAATTCTGATAAAAAATTTAGTTCTACATTCCTGCAACACGTGAAGCCATTAAATATTATATAAATACAAACATACAATTTTTTCAAGTTTTAACTTATTAGTTTACAATAAAATTACTAATGATGATACAAACTAGCCACAAAACATTTGTAAACTAACAAAGTTAGCGCAAAAGAGTCTTACTGTGTACTTATTGAGAGTAGAATTGGTGAAATATTTTGAAATATAAAAAAATCAAACCAAGGTCAAAAGAAAAATATAAATTAATTCAAAAAATGTTTAATATTACATTTTTCTTTAAATTTCGTTTATTTTAAATGATCAAAATTAAATGACATTCTGTGAGAAAACACAAAAAAGCAATTTCAACTATCTAGTGAAAACAAACCACTCCTTTGCAAAGTTGAAAAACAATTAAATGAATAACATATAATAAATACTACTTTTTACATTTTATGATTATTTTAATTGATCATCACAATTTTTACAAGAGTATTTCAATAATTAATTATTTTATAACTACTTTAAACTAATTTTATAAAAAAATTAGTACAGTAATTTATGTGATTACATATTGATTTGATCAGTTAGTATAAGTTTTACAATGAAACAAAACTTTAAACAAAATTTTCATTTATCAAACAAGTTTCAAATCTAAATTTACTGCGATCATAATATAATAAACTACACAATTCAAAATTATGTATACGATTGTTAATTATAAAAATATTCTTCAAACAGCTTAAATGGTGTTCATAATAAAATAAAACCAATTTTCAAAATATAGATAATTTAAAAATTTATTTTTAGAAATGAGAAAATACCATACTAGATATATGTCGAAATATACACACATACACATCACAAACATTATAAAGTTATTGGTATATATAAGTTACCAGAGCAACTGGGAACGTGCAGGAAAAATTATAGCTTCACTAAAGGTTGAATACATTCAAACGTTGTTAATATTACTTATATTTTTATTACTATTTATTCCTCCAGGCCAAGAATCCTGCCTACCATCTAGATTTCGACACCAGGATTTACATTTCCCTCATGATCCAGCCAAGGCAGCGCTTCAACGCGATTGCCAAAATGTTCTACGACTCGGATATCATGTCTATAAATTTTACAAATAGAATAAATAAAAATAACAGTGGGTCGCCAATGTTACAAGGAAACACATCACAGAATTGGTCAACCACGGTAGGTGGTGAATTTTTAATAAAATTGATTTTTATTTGATCATATATTGACAAATTTATTTTGCTCCAGCGGATGTTTATGGTGCTGTTGAACGTCATATACCTGACGTCATACAGTTGTTCTTTTACTCCTACATAAAAAATATGAAAGTAATCCATAATAATAACAATATCGTTTGCAATCAAACATTTTCATAAATTCAAAACATAATACAAAATGTTTATTTCAAAATGTATTACAATTAAATATCACAGTATATATTGGTTAAATACATGATATATATTGGATTGTTATGATGTAAATTTACCATAAAATGCATACATATTCTGAATGATACTATATTAGACTTTGATAATATATTCTTATGCCAAATTTTTTTATAGTGAATGTAGAAAATATATCTTTAAACCCACATTCATTATTTATCATGTTTATATCAGGTTATTATATTCATATTTATTTTGAGAAATACATGTTTTTGATTATTAGAAATTTTATGTATAATTATATAAATAATTATTTTTGTAGAAAGAAATTGATTTTATTATGTTACGATAGATAAACGTCAGAAATTTAAAAATTAGTTCAAAATATTCATATATTCAAATTTAATTGTTCTTTTTTCTTTGTGCACTTTGCGAATGCCTTCAATATTGTATTTGATGATCAAAAAATATATAGCCAAACACTATATTGAATAGGCAGTTTATATGTAATAGGCACTATGTTACAATATCATGTGCATTTTATCACTAGCATATATATACATCAGACAAATACAACTTTTAAAAATATTCCAAATTTTTTAGTCATAATGCGGTCACATCTCTAAGCGCATATTGGCTTCATTCTTAAAAATAACATAAAAAATTAATTAAAATATATGTACTGTATATCTTCATTATTTCTTAAGAATAAAAATGTTAAAATTTTCACATTATAAAAAGAGAATTTTCAATAATAGAAAGTTAGCAAAATATTTGTTATAAAATTCCAATGCATCGCATAATTTATAAAAATATAGTTTTTAAAAAAATACTACCTCTTACATTATAGTGTTAATTACAAATATAATGTTCTGATGTCTCTTATTTACCGAATGATCATAATATATAAAATATCTAACTTAAGAAAAAACTTATAATTAGATCTAATTACAAAAGAAATAATTCCGACAATATTGAATGTGAACTAATCATAACATATTAAAAAAACTATAAATGTATTTCTTATAATGTAGCTAAAAATGCATACGAGGTTTCAATTTAATATTTTATTTTCGCTAATTTGTCAATTAAAAATAGTCAAAATAATATTTTATTTTTCTTCATTTAATATATGAATATTAAATAATTTTAATAACCAAATATTATAATTAATAACTAAACAATTACATTTCAGTAATTGCTGCATATTGCAATATATTGAAATAATCAAAATGTGATGACTAAAGCCAAATTACCAATAAATTTCATGATTTCACAAAGTTTACAAATAATCATATACATAATTGCAATAAATTTCATATCTAATTAGCCAATAATAAAATTCCCAAACATTTCTGGAATGACTTATTTGTCAAATTTTGAATTCATATTAATAATTAACATTAATTAATCATAAAATTATTTTACTACATAATTGCCATTCTAATAAAATAAAATAAATATTAATTATAAATTTATAATTGCAAAATTTATCATATTGTGAATATTACACAGATATGTTTATATAATAAATGCTTCTATTAGTGAAGGAAATCCCTTATTAATTATTTGATGTTTTATTATTTTTAATGAAAATAAATTACTAATCCTTGATTGAAATGTCTTATATTATTTTTCTTAAGATTATTTCATCACCAAACCAACCTGAAATCTTAATAAAGATATAATATTACTTAAACACTGTCAACTTGTTATATAGTGGCAGATATGTAATTGATATTATTCAAGAACAAACTAATATCTTCAAAAATTTTAAATTTTAAATCAGTTCATTACAAAGCTATTAATTCAAATAACTATAAAAGCACAGTTGAGCAAGTCTTGACATTTAAATCTGAACACTTGATGGATTTTAAATTCTTTTGCATCATCAATAATTTCAAAAATTATTATTCGAATTATCTTGTATATTATATTTAATAAATACTTAAACTCGATGAATAATGTTTCATCCGCAGAAACCAAAAATTACTCACGAGTTTTAACTATTCAAAAATTGATAGTTATCGCTAAAATATTTTTTTTAAACGACCAATCACAAAAGGTTCTTTTTAAATTTTTGGGTTATAATTTTTTGACTGCAATATTGGATCAATTTTGATACGGAATCAATGTTGGTACGGCACAAGAAACGCATCTACTTAGAGTATCGTACAAGTTACTTCATCCAAATGAACAACGCACTAATTTTACCAAACATGAATAAGATTTTCACAAACTGTTCGAAATATATAAACTTATAATTATCCACTTAAAAACTATTCACATTAGTGTACCTCAAACTGAAAGATTATACCAAAACTTCACTCAATCCTGGCAATCAGCGTATTCGTATAATTAGTAAAGCAGTCGGCAGTATCATTAAGATTATTCGATATGCAATATCTGATCGTAGAGAGTGCCCTGATGATGTCCATTCATCAGAATCAGCGCTGGTGTACCTCAGGCGTTTCTCTGCAGATGAATCGACGCCTAAAGTTCGAGGACAACCCATCCAAAACGGGGCTGACAGTTTCTGGTGCCTGTGTTTTACTCGCATTTGTAAGTCGTTGAACTCCCAAAAACCTTTGCCTTTGAAGAAATATGTCCTTCCTGGGAAATAAATACATATATACATTTTTTTTAAACCGGTGTTTTTGTACCTTATTTATTTATTTATTTATTTATTTATTCATAAGCAAGCCATAATCAATAATAATAGATATTATTTCAGGCTCTTGTCAAGCTGATTCATTGTTAATATTAAAATGATAGTAATTTTATAATAATCATAGTAGCTGCACAAATTTCGCTTCTGAAAAAAAGAGCTGAAAAAAAGCATTCGAACATTAAATACTATGTTCATCATATTAAAGTCTGTTTGACCACCAGTCAAGCTCAAAATTCTTGCACAAGGTTGAAAGTTATATTGATTTAAAACCGTAAAAATGTTAAATTAATAAAATAGCAATAAAAAAAATTAAAAAAATTAAAAAAATATGGTTGTACAGGCGATCAAATGGTCAGACTACATAGATAAAGGGTAAGGATTATGCAAGAAAATAGTTATTGAAATCAAATTGAGAAAATTCAGTAATGTCATAAAAAGCTAATTCTTTAAAAAGTTTAACTAGGGAAGCGTGAAATTTTTTGCTGTCTTAGTTTCGGATGTTGAGTGGAAGTTTATTCATAAGCTGAATACCTAGACCGTCGATCGTATTGAAAGAGCTGCTTAATTTATATGTGCGCGCCTTAATAAGTTTGTGTCTAGTGTTGTAGTTTGAGGAGGACGAAGCCATATCAAAAAGTTTCGAATTGTTTTTGATGAAAGATAATGTTACCAGCAGAAAAATGCATGGGACAGTTAGAATATTGTGTTTTTTAAATATGGGTCTGCAGGAAGGAAAAAAATATTCGAATAGCTCTTTTCTGAAGCTTAAGTATTTTAATTAGTTCGGATGAAAAACCCCAGAATTGGATGCCGTATGAAACGTGAAAATAAAAGTTGCTATAATAAACTGAAAGTTAGCAATTTAAACCAAGTTTGGGTTTTAGGGTGCGCAACATGAAACATGTTCTAGATAAAGTTGGTGATAGTGAGATAGAGATATGATTAGACCTCTTTAAATTATTATTAATATCGATACCAAGGAACTTTGATACTTGCGAAAAATTATATGCTGAATTATTGATGGTTAAAGAAGTAATATTATTGGATAAACGATTTTTTGTACAAAAAGATATGATTTGGGTCTTATCATTATTGAGGACTAGATTACTTTCACAAAACCATTTCGTTATTTCTGACATAACCACGCTTAATTTATGTTGTAATTCATTAAGAGATTTGGCCTTGATGATAACGCTGGTATCATCCGCAAAAAGAATAAAATCACAAAGATTTGTACAATGGGGTAAATCATTAATATATATGAGAAATAAGAGAGGCCTTAAAATTGATCCTTGGAGCACACCCAATGTACTTGTCAATTTATCCGAAATTATTTTATTTAAACTAAACTTATACTAAATCTATAAAGCTAAATTTATAAAGCAGATCGATGGTCGTTTTTTAATTTTGAATATAAATGAATTTTACAATAATTATTTTAACTATCCTACCATCTGTCCATTGGAACACGGCATCGATATTATATCCGACCCCTTTCCACATGCTCATATCCCTCGGATAGTCAAGTTCGACCCTGCCCTCGTCTTCGTCCAACTTCCAGTAGCGGTCCCCGCTGTACAGGTACGTTTTGGAGTTGTAGCCCCACACCATGGCCGCGTCGATCCGCTCCAAATTGTCTGGCAAACCCAGGGAGCTTAACCGTCGCGGGTAACCCGGTTCCACGCGATTACCGTACAGGTAATAGTATTTGCCTGAGAATTTGAATATATACAGAGATATTGTTATATTGTATTTGTTTGCGAAAACATGAAAACATGGTAATATTAGTTAGCATGTTGAAATTAATATATGTATATTGTAATATGGCGATATTAATTATGAAGATACTACGGTTCGTACCTCATATTAATATAACTAAAACTATATTATAAGCATAACTTAATAAAATACTATAAGATAATTCAACTTCCCCATATAGAAATAAATATCATACGAACATAAAAAAATCAGTTTTTTAAACCCAAAATTTAATTTAGATTTTTTGGTCAAATGTTGATATTAATACATGTATATTGTAATATGGCGATATTAATTATGACGGTACAACGGAACGTACCTCATATTAATATAACTAAAACTATATTATAAGTCTCATTTAATAGAATACTATAAAATAATTAAACTACCACACGTAGAAATAAATATCATATGAATATAAAAAAACAGTTTTTCAAACCCAAAATTAGATTTTTAGGTCGATTTCAACTGAAAGATTTTAGATTTGTGATTGAAATATTTCACTTTTTTTCAAAAAAAGCGCAGTTTGCTCATTTACTGCTTTTGAAAATTTAGTAAACTAATTTTGGTAAATTACTAAGGTATCCAAAATTTTAGAATTCAAAAAAATCATAAAACAAATTCTGACAAATTAACACTATCCACAACACTGTTTTATACCTTTCGACCATGCTTCAACATTCATCACTCTGAGTTAAATTGTTGAGAATTCTTATTTGTTATTGTAATTTCTAGTTCATCAGAATTGTTTTTTGTAACTTTTAAATACATTTTTATTGAAATTTTCATAAAATATGTATTCTGTCTCGTTTAGTAGCGCTACTGGGTGGTACGTGAGCTCGTACAGCAGTGTCTTTTCTGGAGAAAACAATCCCGTAGAAAAAGGGTTAATAATCAACATTGATATAATTATCAAAAATCTTGGTAAATTGAAATTTCCAAATTTCAACTGAAGCAATTAAAGTCGCTTTGTTTTCTAATCTAAGTATTCTAAAAATAATTTTCCTACCATTTGCGTTAATATTTTGAAGAATTTAAAGAATACATCATTTTCGAAAAAAATCGTAAAAACTTTCAAAATTATCAATACAAATAAATACCCGAAAATTATTAAAAATGAGCAAGTAACAAATGGGCAAACTTTAAAAGACAAAAACGTATCGATTCTTCAAAATTAAAATTATGATTGATTATATCGTAATATTGTGATGCATTTAAACAAAAATGTCGTAATAAATTTCATAGCCATCAACAAACTATTATTTTTTTAATTAATATGGAGGTGTACGTTTGATACTTTTTGAGAACCTACTCTTCGCAGTGTATTTATCATATTCCTTGTGCTTCCAGAAAGAAAAACAACAAAAATTACAGCAGCTATCAGGATAAAACAGTCGATCGGATTAAGAAGAAATCGCATTAATATTATCCTTTAATACAAAAGATATCCTATATCACTAACAAGATTGCGTTTGCAATAACTGGCGTAGAATAGAAGTTTCCGCGTCGTATTATGGCGATAGAAGCAGACGACAAAGCGATATCGAAATCCTTAAGGCATCGATATTATTTTTAGACTTACCGATAAAGAAAACAATTTTCCTATCTAGTCTCTCGTAGACGGCGTCTATGTGGGTGATGTTCCTAGGCAGACCGGTCCACAGCCTTGGGATTTCTGCTGGGTAGCCCGCTTTTAATCCCTCTTGTCCGATCCTCCAGAAATACTGTCGGAATAGGAATAGTGAAAAATATTTGTATGATAAAATATAAAATAAAATGTTTTATTATATCATGATAATGGAAAAGTCTTATTGTACTCTTTTGTACAAATAATTTTTCACTTTTCTGCTAGTAACAAATAAAAGACTTGGCTGATCGTCGCGGAAAACTGATAAACGCTAGTCCTTATCGATTTATGTCGAATGGCTTTTGAAAAACATCGACGAAAGATCAAAAATCGGTTCACATGCACACATACATACACATAAGTTTACCAAATTTGTCTCATTCGATTCAGAATAGCTTGAAACGTCAAGAAAACAAAAAAAATCAAATTGGATTGGAACATAAACTTCTCGTTCGGGAAGTTAATAATTAAACTAGTGGGGCGCATGGCATCTAGCCTTAAGACAAATTGCTGGAACTTCCCGTACCAAAAATTATTATTTTTTTAAAAACAATTAACATTTTTGAAAAAAAATTACTGTGAAAAAATAGATTTTTGAGAAACTATAAATTTTTTACAAAAATTTACTTCATTTTGAAAAAAAAGTCTTTTAGAAGACAAGTGTATTTTGAAATATTTTGGAAATTCTGAACTTTTTTTCAAAGCAATCGTACTGCTTTAACTGCATGGAGACGAAATATCGAAGCGCGTAAGCGTCGCGTCGCCGTCTAACAGATAAACATTGGTGCGGAACCCATAGGAATGTAAACAAAATTTATACTTATTGTTAAAATCTCTATAAAATATCTGATAATTTGATGTGCATACGTCTAATGATCATTTTTGATGGCATTTGATGACCAAATGGCATTTTTTTTATTTTTTTCATTAGATCTCCGAAACCGCTAGACCTGCCTTCATGAAAATTTGATCAATTCTTCATCTTGTCAATTCAAGTAAAATGTTTTTGAATTATTCAAATCGGACGCTCCGTTCTCTTAAAAACTGAGTTACCGTTTTCGGCACTTTTTGCCCGTATCTTCGGAACGGCTAGACCTGCCTTCGCCAAAAACTAATCAGCACGTCTCCTTATCAATACAAATCGAATGTTTTTTTAATTATTCAAATCGGTTGATCCGTTCCCGAAATCGTCTACGAAAATTTGCATCCGCACATACATACACACACGCACACACACACATACATTCATTTTTTCTAAAGTATGTCAAAATGTTCAGAAGGTTTTGAAACGTAAAGAAATATGAAAATTTTCATTTTCGATTTTTTGCGATTACTATAATTTGCTGTACGGGAAGTTAAATAAATATAAAAAATATACGCTCGTCAATAAATGACAGTGCTATATACATGTGCGAAGATAAAATTTTACATCCTCAACTCAGCTCTAATTATGCTTCATGCTGTCATTCCAATTGACGACTTAGTAAATATTTAATTATGCTGATCTCAAACTCGAGATTTGCATTGAAATCTAATTTATACCCTTTAACACAGTTTCGTTTTGAACAAATATGAGCATGTAACAAATATCCCGGTTAATGTATGCGCACAAACAGGCGGCGTTGGAACACCATAGAATGAACGAACTCTGAATTCAATTTAACCCGGAATCGTTTATTAAATTTCAAGCACACATGAGGGAATCCAGATCATTCAAATGTCAATGAAACGTATCTATTATGAACGCCGTTCCTCTCGAGTTGGAAAGAAAACAAAATTTGTATATGTAATATATGTGTGGCGTGGAAAATGAAATATTATTATTCTGCGGCCGCACATATGTATTCATCGATATCGAATTATCGTACGGACACCCGTGTGGTAGCTATTCAGAATTCTGAGTTTCGCGATATTAAAATTCGCTCGCCATTAGTATTTTATTGCGATACGTATTTTGGGTTTTATGCTGTATCTGGCTTTTTATTCGATATTCGTTTTAGGAAGGTAATAAAGTTAAACATCTGGAAAAATTTTGAATCTTGGCTTTTGAACCGTGTATGCTGAGAAATATCTAACTGAACATCGAGGTTCGATTCCGATTGAAAAATGCAAATTTGGTGATACAAAATATCACTACATGAAACTCTACTATTTAAATCTTCAAAAAACATCCCTTTGACTGAAAAAGTTTAAATAATAGTTGTATATAAATAATTTGCACAAACCTTTCCCTTGAATATGAAAACTTCCCCACGGATAACAGACACTGCATCATAACTTGTGTCGCAAGTATCCGGCATGCCAGGTTCCGCAGGCTCGAACCTCGGATTCCTAGTCGTCACATGGGGCCTGATCGTGGTCGTACTTGTAGTCGTCTTTCTAGGATAATATCTCGGCTTCTCTGGTATACGAGGTTTCTCTCCTTTTGGTTTCACAGGATATTCAGGTTTAGGATAGTTAGGATAATTGGGATAACTGGGATAACCGGGGTAACTGGGATAATGTGGCTGGTGAGGATGTTTGTAGTGCCTGCTGGTTGGCCGAGTGCGCGGAGGAGCGGCGGTTGTTCTTCGTCGTGGATCCTTCCACGGCATTCGAGTTGTAGTCGTTGTCGTTGTTGTTGTGGTCGTGCTGGGGGGACGATGATGGTAAGGTGGCATTTCAGCCCATTGCCTTTCTCTAGGACCTGAAAATAAATAATAAATATTTATATATATTATTATAGTTGATATCTATAACTTGAAGTAAAAATTTCTGTTTGATGTTTGATGTTTGATGTTTGATGATCTTGGCCAAAAACGTGATTAATTAGTGATAGCCCAAAATTTGACCTCTCGTGAACATTTCCTCGAAAACAGCTATGTTTAAAACCAGCAATAATGTTATGTCTACTATAATAATTTAGAAACTTCTGAAAGTACTAGTAGAAGAACAAATTATTATATGCGTGCAGCAAACTCTGTTGCTTATTAAAGATAACTGAAATTGAAATTCTGATTAACGATGATCGATGAGTTCTTGTAAACGTAGAGCAGCGAATGTAGAATCTTGTTAACAAGAGGTAAGACTGTAGTTATTGAGTAAAACAAGAAAACCGAGCAAAATGTGGAGTGAGACAATATTGTAACATATAAGAAGAAGGGCATATGTTCACCTTTAAGGTAAAGATAGAGGACAGTCGCATTTAAGAAAGAGCAGGAACAAATCTGTATATATATATATATTAGAAATGTATTGTCATAATTAGATGTTTTTTCATTATAAAGTTCATTGGTTATTTTTATTAAAATTACCTATCTTCACATCAATTGAGAAATTAAGCATGTTCAAAATATGTAGAATTGAAATATGCTACAAGCAAAAGAATGAAGCCTCGAATCCTTTGAAAGAGAGAGTACTTAAAAGGATAGATAACAAGCTTTTCTGGATTCATTAGGTTTTGGATCTTTGAATGCATCTAATAAAATCTCATAATCTCCAATTTTCTAAAATCTATGAAATAGTTACCTAGTGAAGTTTAACAAATAAGATCTGTAAATATGTACCGATTTTGTTAAACACATATCAAAGTATTCGACAAAAAGACCTATTTCAAAATACACATGTCAACAAGGCAGAATCGTCAGTTATCTTTGATTATCATACAGCATGGGAATTGTGTATCGTCGCAGTTGACAAACTTTTCCATTACCTCCGAAATATAATCATGTCATGTCAGGGAAGAAGCGACAGCCCGTAAAACAAGTCCCCGTCATAACTAAAGCCACTTAGGCAACGAAACGCAGGGAGTGCAGAAACAGGAGTTTCATCTCTAGATCTATACTACTGGAAATCGGTTCGTAGTGAAATAACAAATCGTCGTTGTCATTGCAAAGTGTACTTGATTATAAGAAATAGATTTCTATCAATCTACGGATATATTTTTCAAACCTAAATAAATCTCTCGTCAAGTTCGAATATTTTATTGGTTGGCAGTTTAAAAATCTGCACAAGATATACGTATTTAAAACAGAAGGCATTTGTAATAATTGTATATCAAGAAATAATAAGTCTGGTTATAAAAATTTCAGCAGAAAACCTGCTCATATTTGTGTTAGTGCTACGAATTTATGATAAAACCAATATCATAGAACATGTACGATAAGGCATGAGAAAAGTAGCCCAAATATACCTCAATGTTTACTTTATAGATTTATTTCAGATCATGATAGTAGATGCGATCTAATATCACTCGTGATTATTCATATATTAGCGCAGAGTTGATAGGCGTGGTTTAAAAAAGCAGGCGTTCCTCAGGGTTTAATTTCAAGAACACTTTTTGCAGTCATGTAGAGAAGGTATATGATTACACTTCACATTACGTTATACGTTATCTCTTATTTATTAATAAATGCCAGAAACATGCAGCAAGCGTTCATTACTAAATAAGCATGATTGTAGTTTATACCGTATCAACATTAATTATTCAATAGAAATGTACACGAATTGTGTTAGACTTATGAGGTGTTATCGATCGCCATCTGTAAGTGCGCCCCGACTACGTTCGCATGCGAGGATTTGAGAGACATGCACTAATTAATCATAGTGTGCGATTAAATTTGATCATGATTAAATAAATAGCGCAGCTCCGAAGCTGCAAGTTTATGGCAGAGGATGTTTGAGAAATGCCATACTTCGTTTAATCCCGATACACTAGTACAAGCGGTACGATGACATAGATAACAAGCTTGAATTACAGACTACAGCATTTTTTATAACAAATTACTTCATTAATTAGATAAAAATCTGTAGCACTGTTCATTTCATTCATCAATGATACAAATTTTAACTATGTAATCTCGGACATCACATGATACCAGCCTGGGTAATGCAAAGTGCTTTTTAATAAGATATTTGTACATTGTTCATAGGTAAAGTCAGTAAAAATTATAACATTTGCTAGTAGTCCATAGTTAGTCCAGAGCATTACTTATATTTTATTTTATGGAGACAGTAGCTATCGGTGGCTATCTAAGTTAAGTCAAATAAGTTTTGGCGTTAAATGTGTGCCATCATTCAGAAATACGAACCAAATAAAATAAAATAAAATAGTTCTGACAAACCAGAATGTGCTCCAACAAAAAATTCAATTACAACATTTGTTGATACAAAAATGATTTCACAAAGGGTGCTGACATTGTCCATATATATTTAGAATATATGTACATGCGTCTGTATTTTATTGCGTATTTATACCTCTGAACTACCAGGCATTCAATACAAAGTTATCAATATAGGTAGTTAAATAGCAGCCTTTGTGAAACATTCGCTTTTATAGTTCGGTTCACTAAGGTCACTTCAGTTTGTGCAACTCGATCGTTGAACTCTGGTATTTTTAGATTCATAAGAATATGTAAATATGTACATACATAATCTTATTAGCTGTTCCAATACTGCTCTATTTTCGAAATTCTTATGTTATTTGTCAATATTAACTTACGATCGACGAAAAGGTAATGCATTCAAAATAAGCTATTATTTGTGTATTTACTATTCGTTTCATCGGATATCATTACTTAAACGATGCGACATAAAAATAATGGCAATAGGTTAAAGTACTTCTCATTTGATAGTATAAATAGAAAATAGATAGAGAAAATATTATGGTAATATTTATCGATATAATCAATCGATTACGTTATCAATATTAGAAGCAGCAAAATATTTTTTTTAAAATAATCAAAATTTTAATAATGAATAACTAAAAGTAAGTAGCCTTTTGTTGCATTTTGCCTTGATGCAACTTGCATGAATTTTATCAATAATAATTGGATTTGTATATGATCTGTCTGTTCATCTTTCTATCACTTAATGTCATTTTTTTAAACTTATCCTGCATCTCCGAAATCTCTATTCCTGCCTTCCCAAAAATGTAATCAACTCTTCACTCCCTTACTATAAGTAAAATGCTATTTGAATCATTTTAATCGGATTTTCCATTCTCTCAAAAACCTATTGTGCCTCTTTTTGCTCAGTACCTACAAAACATTTAGACCTGTCTCTGACAAAAACTAATCAGCACGTGACGCAGTGAATACAAATCAAATTATTCAAATTGTGTAAATCGTGCTCTCGAAATCGTCACAGAAGAGTATGTACGTGCATACATCAATACCACACGCACAATCACATACATACATTTTTTCTTATGTATTATTTTTTTTCTAATTTCTACAATGATGCGGAAGTAGAAAAAGTATGCAAAAGGTAATTTTAAAAATTGCAAGAAAAATCAAAATGAAATCAAAGCACTATAATTTTAATTATTCCTCCAGGACCCAATTCCACGTAAAGCAAAAACCAGATACTCGTAATTTTTCAGTTTCTCAGAACGCTCTGCACCAGATGCGCAATTCAGGAGATACTCGAAGCACTTTTTAACAAAGGGAAGATAAATTCGAGGAAACAGTATTTGGCTTGCAGTACAAAGCCATTAAAATTATAAATGTATCTTATCGTACGTGCTGTTAGCACAATTTCAGAACAATAATTTAAGTACTCTTCCATAAAAGTCGGTCACCTAGTCGGTCTACGTGTGTGGAGGAGACGAGGCGAGCGCGTGGGCGGCAATAGAGTTTTCTATTATTCACTATCGGTTCTCTTTTTAATTTAAAATGGCTTTCGAAACGAATGCATATGCTATCCGACGCTATATATTGGAATCAATACTGGAGATGTTGAAGTCGAAAATTGTATCGAATATTTTTTTACTTTATTTATTAATGGCGTTCATCTGAAAGGTCATTTGCACCCTCTTCATATAGCAGTTAATATAAAATATAATTTTAGTATAAATATTTAATTATAAATTAGTGGTTAAGGTTTAGGGGTTATGATCTGCTCTATATTTTTACATTGTTGTAGATTTTTCACTAATATTTTGTACATTTTGATATTATATTAGATTACTCACATCAACGGTTGAAACAGATAGAAACGAAAATGAAATCACTGTTCTGGATAATCAAAGGTAAATCTAAATCAACATTAGAAAACAAAAGACTACTAAATACGGCGAAAATAAAATCAATCTGGACTTGAAGCGTTGAGTTGTGGGGCTTTGCCAATAGATCAAGAATTTCATATATCCAAAAGAACCAGTCAAAAATTCTGAGGTGTATTGCAAATACATCTTGGTATATTAGTAACCAGAGACCATAGCACTGCACAACAATCTGAAAATTGACACTGTCCAGGAGAGAGTGCAAAACAGAAGTGGTATCCATCACGATAAGATTTTCAACAACCAATAATCCCGCATTGATTTCCTTATTAGGAACATCAACTATTTAAACAATTAAAAGGTTGAAAAGAAGCACACCCCTTTGATCTGGTTAATAACGTCATGCATGTAGAACTCCAGAACTATTAGTGAAGTTCTAAAAACAACCATAATTTGCTTATACTTTTTTTTAAATTTTCTGATTGCTATTTAATTATTGTTAAATGGAAGTATCGATAAACGTCATCAAAATGCATATAAAAAGACTTCAAATTATAGGATTTGTACTCGCTATTTCGTGGATTGACAAATATAAAGTCAGTACAAAGGCAAAAATAAAGTCTTAATATCTATTCTAATTCATCGTAGTATTAATAACAACTTAAAAATAGCAATGTAGAAGATATAATCAAGAAATGGAGTCCAAATCCATTACTGCAGATTATTATTAAAACACACCATTAGTAAGATTGAAGGAAAACCAAAAGATCTAGCAATTAATTGATACTCATCCTTAGATTAAACATGTAGACGTGTATGTTAGGAAATCCTTGAACGACATAGGTTTATAGAAAACTGTATTTTCTGATTATCTAATATCCATGAGTCTACAATTTAAATTAATGCTATAACAAAAACATTGGCATCCGATGTGTAAATAATTAAAGATATTTTTTAATTATCAGCAATCAGAAATCAGGGTTTTTTCGAGCTGTTATGAAATATTTAACTAACTTCGTCGATTTGTTATTGATGAAGAAATATTAAATATGATTGAATATTTCTAAAAAAATGGATATTTTTTGTCAAAGGGTTTTTTAACAGACTTTTATCAATTTGTGCACATAAACAAGCTCACTCAATATATTTACAAAACATATATCTATTCAAAAATTTTTAATAAATTTCGAAAGAATTTTATAAATGCCTATTTATAGACAAAAATATTGACCTATTTTATTTTGGACTCAATAGAGCAATTAACAAAATATCTACATTAGTTTTATTTTATACTCAATTTTATTCGATACTCCTTTTAATAATTGATAAGTATTATATACTGATACTTCTCTGAACAGAAGTGCATCAAACGACTGTTTTAATTTGGAAGCATACTTTTAATTTATATTTTCAAGTTAAATGGTGATATCTACATGGCACCAGGTTGCCTACAACATGGGTTTGTATTTTGTACCTTGCGGTTACAAAATGGGATATGTCTGGTTTATATTGTTCGAAAATATCTAACCAGCAACGGAAAACGGTTTTTGATATTGAAAAGAGTTAGTTTTCGACATATCGATAAAATTCAACATCCCTCGTCGGAGTGTTGGTCGTTGCATTATATTTGCCGTCGATTTCAATGAAATCAAAACTCATGAAATTCTATTAAGATAAATAACGTAGATTGTGTGTACATTGGGCCATTGTAAATACGCGGTGGAACTGCGTCGGGCACAATGGACATGCTAATTGCAATAATGCCTCTCTGAACATACGTTAATGTTACAAATTCAATTTGTACATACGGCTTCTGCATAATATAGCTGGATAGGAAATACACCTCGCTCTATATATAGACAACGTATACTCACAGGTTTGGGAACATCAGAGATGGGCAACTTCTTAATATATTTATCTGTAGACTACAGACTGTAGTCACGTACTTATTGCAAATTTACACCTACAAATTTTCCTTCAATATATTTAAGAAATACTTAATTTATATAGATTTCGCAGGTCTTAGACGTTCCATCCTCAAGTTTTTTGTTATTTATACAAGACATTTTATGATGAAAAATATAAGAAGAATATGTAATTACGAATAATCAAGGGAGAGTATAATTCACCTCAAACAACACGGTGTAAATTGATAGTATTGAAAAACATAAATTATTTTTTCAATTATTGTAATAACACACAATTTTCCGCAGGAGTGACTCTGCTGTACGATTCAGTAATCCGCACCAGTATTATAAAATATTATACCTATTATAAAATTTTTCAATTATTATAAAAAAAATGTTTCAAAATTGTGAATTACACGTGTAAAGAACTAAATATTAGAATTTTCAACAAATTAAGACATAGCGATAAATAATGAAGCAGGGAAAGGTCAAGTTATGAATAAAATTAAAGTAATGATGACAAAAAAAATCTAATAAAGATTAATGCGGCAATTCTGCCGTATTAATTACTAGACCAATTTCATGATGAGGATTTGTTACGGTGCGCTTTTCATATAAAATGGTACTAAAAACTGTCAAAAAGCTATGCTGTTGTGCAGTTAGACATTTCAGGTAGGTATAAAACCTAACCTGGAAAACGTCAAAAAAAGAATCTTATCATAAGTGCATTTTTGTGATGTATCATAATAACATATACAAAAAATACATTTTGACAGTTTTTAGTACTATTTTTTATGAAAAACGCAGCGTTCCATTAACATTGGTCTATTTTGAGGGAGAATTGGCCCGTAAAAGTCGTTTTACCGGTTGGCAACCCCTGGCTGAACTATATTGCGTCTATTCGGTTCGGATATTGTGTCTATCAATACATAATGGATTGTCAGAGAGCCCTTTCGCTCTGTATGCGTCGCTAATATGTTTTTATAACTGATTTCCGCAAATGCTGCGGGTTTATTTGTCCACGGAATTACGATTGACCTAAAATATTATTAAAAAAATTGGTTTAATTCAAATGTCCGGCGGCGAGCGGTGATTTGAAATTATAAAGGTATTATTATGTGATATGAATAAAAATTTAATGACTGGTATTTTTTATTTAATGATAATACAGCCGTGCATACTACGTGTTTCTTTTGTGTTGCGATCACTATAGGTAATTCATTATTATATGAATAATATTTTACAACACATTTTAATTTCGAGATAAATGATAGAAACATAACCCAAACAAACAAGTGAATGCTTGTAATGTTTTTGTTAAATAATCTATGAATACGATTAAAATTTATATTGCTATATCAAATTTTAATTTATATATTCGTAGTTTGTAAGATATTAATCACAACAGCTCATAGAACCCATAAGCTCTGACCGCTGTTCAATTAAAATTACTCGTTAAAAATGTTACCATTTTATAGTGGAAATATTATTTTATATTTGATGTATATGATATTGGTGAATAAGGTGATTTATGTAGTGTTTATGTAGGATCATCACTGAATTAAACTATCAAATCAATAGAGATATATTAACATGATATATATCAGAAACCCAATTGCATGATATATTTTATATTAGACACATAAATGTATAAACACACTTTTAGCCTCAACGGATCGTTGGTATCTAGAAATAAACATTCTTATTGATCAAGGCAAATATTTTCAAAGCCCCAAAGCATACTGCCGCACATATTAGGGTTCATAATTACTACCTAATTAACTTTAAAATAAATATTTAATGATTTAGACTCACCATACATATTTTGTATCCCATTTATATCATCGTAGGGAAGTTTGAAATTTTTGGGTAGGCCTTGATACCAAGGGTACATAAGGGCTCCTTGGACGGTGGAATGGGCCAAGCCGAGAGAATGGCCAAACTCGTGAGCGGCCACGGCGAACAAACTCGTACCTAGAAAGATAGGTAATAATTATATAAATGAATGATAATATAACATACGTTCACAGCATGTTTGGTTTTTAGTAAAAATATTTTATAGTATAATTACTGCTGCTTATAAGTCTATATTATATATTGGTATGCTGAATAGGATAGTTCACTCGAAGATGCATCTAATACAGCTGCATCTCAATTTCCATCTTAACAGAATCGCAGTTTTGTTTATATTTTTATTTATTTGCATAACTCAGTAACGCCAAATCGAACATCGCTGGTTCTATATAAAATTTCATAGCCAAAACAAGTACACGTAATTCGATACCTAATATAGCCAAACGATAAAATATGTTTTTATTTATTGCTAATTTAGTTCTGTTATTAAATCTCTCAAATTAAATTCAAACTGTATTATCGATCGCAGTTTGCAAAACTTTTAATTGACGCAAACAATCGTGCAGTCGTTATATGAAATGAGTGAGTGATGAACAGTATTTATATAAAATATGAACCAAACACAAATTTATTATTTCATATACATTTGTACCTATAGTATAGAGACTACGCTTATTGGTTTAAACACGTTATCTATCATACAATGTGTGCGCCGAATGCGCATTATTTTGAAGTAGACGATAGGTAGGCACCGGTGACAGACATTGATTAAATTGGAAAACCGCATTTCGAATGTGTTCAATTGGCATCAGTTAAAAATATTGTCAATCAACAGTTCCAGGTTTCAAATGGTAAATGCTAAATGGTAAATGGTGAGTGGTAAATGGCAAATGCATTCGTTGTAAATATTTTGACGCGCCCCACCTCGCAGTAGTGACACAACAGTATATTGATGAATTACCTCAATTCTTTCCAAGCTTTTTTATCACATAGTAGTAGTTAACAAATAGATCACATTGATATGATAATGGATTGTAACAGGTATAATAAAAGGTAGAAATGGTCATTCAGATATGCAGAGTTTGCAATCAATTACTTGAAAATGTTTAATAGTAGTGTAAGATCGACAATGTATCGAACGTCTACCACAGCATATTCGTTCCAATAGTTTCACAGCAAAATGTTATAAAATAAATAACAAACAAACATATGATAAAATTAATAGTTATATCCAAAATTCAATTACCTTTGAAAGTATAAAAAAATATAAAATTTTTTATAAATTTGGAAACCTCATAATATTCTACTATAATACTTGCTGTATAAATTGTCAAGTAAGTTTTAAAATTTCTGAAAGAACTACTAATTCTGATTTTCCGTAAAGTAAATTATAGTAATTCCAAAAAATTGAGAGATAATTTTTGCATATTTTTAAATTTCAAAGATTTCTGAACATTTTGGCTTACTTTGGATGTGTATGTTTGGATACAATTTTTTGTCCACTTTTGTATATTTGATTAGAATGATCCCAAAACATTTGATTCGTATTGATTGAGTGAATTACTACTTATTATTGTTAGCAATGATTGATTACATTTTTGCACAGGCAGTTAAAAGCCACAAAGAGTGCAAAAAATAGCAGTTTTGAGGAAACGGCTCATCCGATTAGAGTGATTCTAAAAGCATATTGCTTGTATCGACGGTGTAAACATAGATAAAGATCGTCGCCCAAATATAAGCTGTTATATTATATTAGATTTATAAAAAACGCTGCTGAAATTTACAGTATTTACTTTGAAATTTTTAGAACATGTTATTAATCATTAATATATTTTTATTGATTATTAATTATTTTTATTTCGCGAATGTTTAATTAGTGTACGAGAAGTTCTAGCAATTTGCCTTTAAGCACCATGCCATAAACCACTAGTTTGTAAATTCTAAATATTTAAAATATTGTAGTCTAATTGTCATCACATAATATTGAACTAACATCGTAAAGTTATCGTTAATTAGTAAAGTATTGCTTGATGCCGGATGTCAAAATACTCCGGAATGACATAGGAAGATTTGGCTTTTTGTAGCAGGGCTTCTCAAACTTTTGTCCTTTGCGATTCCATTTACGACTGCGAGTTTCTTGACAACCCCACATATATAAAAAAATAAATTAATATTTTTAAATGAATTATATATTCAGTAACAATATACATATGCATATGTATATACATATACATATGAAAATATATAATTAGTGATTTTGTTGAGGACATAAAAAAATCAAGACATTATGTTATAAAATGATATAAATATTTCTCTCTCATAGATTAAGAAGCCCCGTTTAATGTTGAAGTTTCATGATGATATTTTGTGATTTACGATAATTTATTTATCAGATATGTAAGTGGTGCAAATAAAAGGTTGTACTCCAAGGCCCTTCTCAATTGTGTGAAAAGTAGGCGCAAGTTTAAAGGTTCGTCCTTTGATAGTTAAATATCTTGCGAATTAACCTTTAACTTTCATAAATATATCGAAGAAAGTTTGTTAAATAAAACGTGATCGGCAATAGTTATATTTATCGGCAAACAACATCGAACGAGCGCAATATTGAGCCGCCGAGTGTAGTTGTGAGTTGTGAGAGCTTTCCCATCAATCACACGTTATTGGCACTTGCCTCCAGGAGTTCGTGCCTACGTTACACGTTCTCACTCTTTCCGTCACGTCCTTCTTCCATATCAATCCCTTTCAAAGCCCCGACTGAAAGACATCCCATTTTCAGAAACCATTTTATAGCGAATAATCCGATGATACAACTGTATATAACTCTGTCATTACAAGTTATATCGGGGAACGGCTCGAATTTTAAATTTGTCAATCGACTTGATTGACGTAATATAGAAATTTATCTTTAACCAGATAACAGTGCTATACCATCTGCACAAGGTAATTAGAATTAAGATTTCATGCGTAATAAAAGTAATTTACTCATGTTTGCACCGATAATATGATGAACCATATTTAAGCGCCCGGCGCAATGTTTATTAAACAAGTCAATTAAAAATCACTACACACGGACACTTTACTACCTCGAAGGACCAGATATAATTTATTATTAAAATGGCTATATCAGACCTTTAAAAATAAGTAGATTAAATAAGTTGGTTTAGTTATTAATAGTATTTATTTGTTTGATGTTCACGGTTCAAGTTATGCGTACAGAATGAATAATTTCTTATAACTAGCTTAGTACCTATACTAGGGTAGGAAATTATTTTATTGTGTCAGGTAGACAAAGATAGATGAATAAAATTTGTGAGGCTCGAACACCATAGTTTTAAAAAAATTGTAACTTTAAAATAAAACTAGTGGGGTGCATGGCATCATGCCTTAAGGCAAATTGCTGGAACTTCCCGTACCAATTTTTTTTTTTTTAAAAAGATTAACATTTTCGAAACAAAATTTACTCTGAAAAATTATATTTTTGAGAAACTATAAATTTTTGACAAAAATTTACTTCTTTTACCGTTTTTGGCACTTTTTGCCCCATATCTTCGGAACGACTTTACCTGCCTTCGCCAAAAACTAATCAGCACGTCTCCTTATCAATACGAATCCATTTTTTTTGAATTATTCAAATCGCTTCATCCGTGTTCCCGAAATCGTCGACGAAAATTTGTATCCGAACACACGCACACACACATACATACACACACATACACACTCATACATCCATTTTCTCTAAGGTATGCCAAAATATTCAGAAAACTCTGAAACGTAAATATATATAAAAATTTTAATTTTCGATTTTTTTGCGATTACTATAACTTACCCTATGGGAAATTAATAAATAGTGCAGAAAAACTACCCTCTTTTGTGGGCATCGTTCACGTGGGGTTTTTAGGGGAAGGGGGGTTTGACAAAAAGTTACAAAATATCACGTTGGGAAAGCAAGGGTGTAGTAAGATATCATGTGTATTTATTTTTTACCCGATTTTTTTTAAAAAAATCCAAACATTTAGAAAAAAATCCAAAAATTTACAGTTTTTTTTTCCTAACTAAAAATACACGTGATATTTGTTGGGGGAGGGCAGAGTCATTTTGATAACACCACATATCACCAAGCGGGAGGGGGGTACAAAAATCTTAAAAAAATCGATCAACTGATTAATGGGCCATCATTATCGTATGAGGATAAATATGAATAACCAAAAATTTAAACATTGACCACCAATAGACTTAATAAAGAATTTTATGACAAATATTATATTTATTTTTGTATTTTTGTTTTTAGTTCTTTTTTCATAATTCAACGCTGTGCAGAGATCAAAATCTAATTTACTATAAATTCAATCACCATTGAATTAATTAGATAAAAACTCGAATTTTTATATTATAAATATATGATTAACCATTTATTTAATTAACCAAAAATTTAATAAAAAGAACATACATTCATCCGTTTCAATTTTACCTTGGTCGTTATGTACGACTTTTGCATTTAAACATATCTATTAAACAAAACATGCAGAGGAAATATTACGGCTTATGAAAGCGTAAAGTAAATCATCTCAAACAAAGTTCAGTTATAAAGAGAGTCGTGCCACAAACGGCTGCAGAAATAACAAAAGAGTTCCATTCATTACGTCTCTTGGTGGCACAACACCACTTGTAATTGACAATAGTCGCACTTGTATTCAAGCCAGACACTTGTTCCGGAGCTCAGTGCAAAGTTCCTAACGCCTTATGAAAGGATTCCAAACACATCGTAGATCTTTTCAAGGGATAAATGAACGGTATTATACCACATATGTGCAAGGGCTGTCAAACTAGAATAGGAGTAAAGATCTCTTAGTTAGAAATCTTGGTTCTTGATCGCGAAGAACCGGAATGATTCCTACTAGGGTTTGTCGGTTTTCAAAAACCGGTTTTAAAAACTGGTTTTTTGGCGAAAATTATGGAATTCGAAAACCGGTTTCTTAGCGAAAAAAGTCGGTTTTTACTGTATATGTGGAAAATGACAAATATAACCAAATATAAAATATAGATGAAAGCGTTTTGATTCTTGAAATCATATCGGTTCAATAGCATTTCATATCTAATCAGTCTGCAATAGTTTCCAGAAA